AGAGAAAACCCTCCTTGGTTGGACGGTGATGTCTCCAGGGAAGGAGGAGGGTCCCATCCTGTTAACTCAATCCACTACTATAGATTATGAGCAGTTATGTGCATTAGATGTCCTCGGACTTCCGGACAGAAATGAAAATGATCAGAAAACTGTGTATGAGGAATTTGAAGAGCAGCTTAGTAGAGATCAAGCGGGCTGGTATGAGACACATTAACATGGAAAGGGAATCACCCCCCACTGCCAACTTATGAGAACAGTAGCAAGCGTCGCCTAGAGCAGTTGCTTAAGAAACTTGAACGGAACGGACAGTACAAACAGTATAATGACATTATACAACAACAGTTAAATCAGGGAGTAATTGAGCTGGCACCTACCACTAAAACAGCAAAAGAATTTTATATTCCCCACAAAGGCATAGAAAGGAAGCAAGCTGAGACCACTAAGTTGAGAGTGGTGTATGATGCGTCTGCGAAAGAGAGCGGATCCCAACCATCCCTCAATGATTGCCTCCACCCGGGCCCCCCTCTCCAGAACCTGTTATGGGACGTCCTTGTTAGATCTAGATTTCACCCCATTCTGTTGACAGGCGATTTGAAACAGGCCTTTTTGCAAATCAGAATAAAGGCCGAAGATCGAGATTCATTGCGATTTCACTGGAAAGAGACTGGGAACGATGCAATACAAATCTACCGGTTTACTCGAGCCCTGTTTGGGCTGACTTGCTCCCCATTCCTTCTCGGGGGAGTCCTTAAACACCATCTGGATGCTTGGGAAGAGCGCTACCCCGAGATAGTGAAGCAATTACGCGAAGGACTGTATGTTGATGATTTGATTACGGGGGGTACCACAGTCGCAGAAATCCAGACCCAGAAGGAGAAAACTATCGAAGTTTTTAACGATGCCACTTTCACAATACACAAGTGGCACTCAAACGTACCTGAACTCGAGCCAAAGAATCAATCGTCATCAGAGATAAGTGAACTAACATATGCCAAAAGTCAACTGGCAGGGATCGAACAGCCCGATGGGAAACTACTTGGTGTGCCCTGGGATAGGAAGCACGATACTATTAGCGTGACCCTCACCACAGACGCTGAACCTGTAACTAAGAGAAGCATCTTGTCAAAATTGGCACGAATCTACGACCCCCTGGGCTTGGCTTCACCAACCACACTGACCGGAAAACTTGTTTATCGGAGTGCGTGTGACAGTAAAATTCCATGGGACGCAGACCTACCAGGGCCACTACGAAAGAAATGGAAGGAATGGAACGAAGCGCTCGAGTCCTATACAATCCCTCGGTCCTTAGCCTCATACCATCAACCAATTCAAGAGATCACCTTGCATGGATTCGGAGACGCGAGCTCAAACGGCGTTTGTGCAGTCGTCTATGCAGTAGTCAAACAAGAGGATGGAGTTACCCAGGGATTGGTATGTTCGAAGTCACGAATAGCGAAGCGAAACTTGACCATTCCACGTCTTGAGCTCATATCGGGACACATGACTGTAAACCTAGCCACAAATGTTCAACAAGCTCTCACTACTCATCCAGCAACTGTTCATTGTTGGCTCGATTCATCCGTAGCTCTGTACTGGATCAATGATCAAGGTGAATACCGACAATTTGTGGCAAACAGAGTACAAAAGATTCGTCAGCACGAGAATGTTACTTGGCATCACGTTCCAACAGCGGAAAACCCAGCCGACATCGGAAGTCGGGGAGGAAAGGTCTCTGGGAACACGTTATGGAAAGAGGGTCCATCATGGTTAAACAATCCTGCAGAATGGCCAGTTCAACGAGTTCTGGAACCGACACCAGATAGCAAATCAGAAGCGAAAGTGATTAAAGAAATCTTCAAAGCTGCGCACATTGAAGAAGACATCATGGATCTACTACTTGATAAATATCCTTTACCGAAAGTGCTACGAATTGGAGCGTGGGTTCGACGGTTCATTCTGAATTGTAAACGACAACCTGCAGAGAGAGAGAAAGGTCCCATCAACAGTCGCGAGGTTCAACAACAACGAGAATGGTGGATACGACGGGCCCAAGACGCAGTCAAACACGATGCACGATATTTAGCCGACCGAGAGCGATTAAACCTACAGGAGAACAACCTCGGAATTCTGGAGTGTAGAGGCAGAATTATCGGAGAATATCCCATCTATATACCAGACTTCCATCCTTTCGCGTCATCTTTAGTTCGTGAAGCGCACCTATCAACTCTACACGGGGGAGTCAGTACAACCATGGCGAAAGTACGTGAACATTACTGGGTTCCTCGGCTTCGCCGTCTAGTCAAGAACATCAGATCACACTGCAACGGTTGCAAGAGATTCCGGGCCAAGGCCTATCAAGTACCGCCCCCCGGAAATTTACCAACTACGAGAACACAAGGCGCAGTACCATTCGAAGTGATCGGGGTGGACTTTGCCGGACCTATCAAGTACGTACCAAAGTCGAAGAAGGAAGCTAAGTCATATCTTGTGCTTTATACGTGTAGTCTAACAAGAGCCGTCCACCTTGATATTGTGAGATCGTTGGATACGAAAGAGTTCATCATGAGCCTAAAAAGGTTCATTGCGAGGAGAGGAAGACCAAAGTTAATCTATTCCGATAATGCAATGACATTTAAAGCTGCCGCAAAATGGATTCAACTAGTAAGACAAGATGAGAAACTAAACAGTCTCTTAGCAAACATGTCGATCGAATGGCGTTTCAACTTAAGTCGGGCCCCATGGTGGGGAGGACAATTTGAACGTTTAATTGGATTATTTAAGAGTTCATTCTATAAGTCAATCGGCAATGGTATCTTAACGTGGTCGGAACTCGAAGAAGTCGTGTTAGATATCGAAATAGCGATGAATAATCGCCCCCTGTGTTACTTAGAGGATGATGTGCAGTTACCTGTGCTCACACCCAATGGTATGCTCCACACCCAACCCACCTACATTCCCGAACTAGAAAAGCACCACATCGAAGAGAAAGATCTCAGAAAGCGAGCCAAACATCTGTTAAAATGCAAACAAGCGATGTGGAATCGGTGGACCAGAGAATATGTGCGTGGTCTTCGTGAGCAACACCGAATGACTAGACCAAAATCAATGCAATATCCCAAAGTTGGAGAGATAGTGATTGTAAAGGAAGATCAAAAACCAAGAAATACCTGGAAACTTGCCATAGTTAAGCAACTCATCACGGGCAGAGACGGTGTAATACGGGCAGCTAAGCTTAAAACTGCTGGTGGTAATAACTACCTGGAACGCGCGATACAACACTTGTTCCCGTTAGAGTTACAATGCGATAAAGAGATTACAACTCGTTTAGATCCAGATGCACAAGAGTTCACACCCAGACAGAAGCGAAATGCTGCAGCAGCAGCTACGTTACGCATAAGAGACATTGCAGAGGATGAAAAGGAACTTTAATTAAAGATTGCAGAGACTTGCTATGTGAACACTTATCGAAAGACAATTAATTAGTTCGTAATAAACATTTATATTATTCATAAAATTACTTAGTTACCCAGTTCGTATTGTGACATGTAAACTCTCAGAGTATACATGGGGGAGTGTGTAGCGAACTGGGCTCATTACGGAGCTTTACGAAGCCAAGACGAACATTGACATATTTTGTGATGGGTCACGTGATTAACAAGCATGCGAGACTAACCAGCGAGAGAGAAACAGTGAGAAATCAGTGAGAGAGATTTGTATTTTATTATTATTATAAAGTTATTATTTTGTTATCGTGATTTGCCCTGGATACTTCTCAGGGAGGCGAGAATTCAGGACACACGAAGTTTGCAGACGAAGTTAGTAGACGAAGTTAGCAGACGAAGTTAGCTGACGAAGTTAGTAGACGAAGTTAGTAGACGAAGTTAGTAGACGAAGTTAGTGTACCTAGACGAAGTTAGCAGACGAAGTTAGCAGACGAAGTTAGCAGACGAAGTTAGTAGACGAAGTTAGTAGACGAAGTTAGTAGACGAAGTTAGCAGACGAAGTTAGCTGACGAAGTTAGCTGACGAAGTTAGTAGACGAAGTTAGTAGACGAAGTTAGCAGACGAAGTTAGCAGACGAAGTTAGCAGACGAAGTTAGCTGACGAAGTTAGCTGACGAAGTTAGTAGACGAAGTTAGTAGACGAAGTTAGCAGACGAAGTTAGTAGACGAAGTTAGTAGACGAAGTCAGTAGACGAAGTTAGCAGACGAAGTTAGCAGACGAAGTTAGTAGACGATGTTAGTAGCTATTAGCGAACTTAAGCAAGGCTTAATCTAGTAGGAGGACGTGACAAGAAACGGCCTTAAATTTCACTCTTTTATAATTATAAAGAACTACTGTTATTAAGAGCATCAACAAGCAGGACAAAAGTGCAGCGAGGACGGCTATTTATATCATATTAATACAAGAAAATTGAGCAGAAATGAAGAATTAAAATCCCACGGACGGCTTAGATGTTGCTATCGTTCTGTTTGTAACGGCAAAATACAGATTATCACGTCTTGTATACAACGCTTACATTTCAAGCCGGGACAACTGCTACTTTCAACTGGGTCCTAGAACTTTCTCAATCATAAACCTTGTGTTAACCTAGCTAGTGTTAACCTCAATCCTTAAACTGTATTATTTTTCATACGATGGATAATAGGCGACAGTTTTTCATCTGCAATCAGGGCCTTCGCACAAAACGTTGAATTTCTCCTTGTATTTTTCAGATAGTTGCATCCCTACCAACCGAAGTTTTGTTAGTGCCATGACTGTTGTAATAAATTTTGTTTTATTCATGCCTGGTCTTTATTTAACTGTAGGAAAGAAGCATTGAAGATCTTAAAGATCGTTATTATGATTCCATCACCAGACTTTTAAAGGTACAGTAAACCTGGCATTTTTGGGAACTACACACGTAAAAACGCACAAGTTGTACAGGTCTACAAACAAGTTGTTACAAAACTGTTCACAAGTTGTCGACTACAGTACTTGTGTTCGCACTACTTGTTTCCCAGTTGTAACAAGTTCGGAACAAGCTGTTAACAACTTGTAACAAGCTTGATGATTTAATTATCAGACTCGTTACAAAATTGGTCTAACAAGTCTGATACAGTCATGATATAACAAAAATGTTACAAGGTTGTTACACAAGGTTGTAACAATATTGTTATATCTTGACTGTATCGGACTTGTTGGACAACTTTGCAACATGTCTCATGATAATACTGTATTAATTAACAAGGTTGTTACAGCTGTTAACCAGTTGTTCCATACTTGTTGACAACTTGGGACAAGCAGTGCGAACACAACTTGTTGACGGCTTGTTGGCAGGCTTGCTATACAAGATGTGCGATTTTTGCGTGTGTAGAATGGTGAAATATGACTAATAACTAGAAAATACATGCATGCAGAAACCCTCGCCTTGCTCACAAAACCATTGCAATTTCCGAACATGAAGATGATCTAAAGTAGTTGTCATGGTAACACGATAATTTTTAAGAATATTCTTACAAATGAAACATTGCCTAAAAATATCACTTTTAATTACAAAATTATCAATTTACCAACATATATATGTTAGGTATGTTGTTATACGTAATATAAGCTTCAATTTAAGGTAAAATTCAACCACAAACGCTTCGCAAAACGTTTTAAAGTGTTCTTTATAAAACTAACTAAATTGCGTTTATTAATTAAATGGCTTTATCGATAAACTTTGAGTTTGCAATAAAATGATTTCAAATTTCTCGCATGCAAATTACTTTGCTAACTTTTTTATTTAAAAAATTCAATATAATAAAAATGGGAATCAATATTAAAGATACACTGAAATTATATACTGTCTTGTTTAGTTGTTTCATATACGCAAAGGCCGTCGGGTTTTAAAACCATTATAAAATCAATATTTAAAACAAACTTACCTTCGTTAACGTCGGCTCCCTTCTTTTAGCCGATTCTTTTGGGGGTTTCTTTCTGAGAGAGCTTTTGAAATTTACAAAATCTTGCAAAAATGCGAGCAAAAATGAAATATATTTGCATGAAATTTATCAATCATCAAATAAAGAAATGTTTGTTATTTCGCTGTCGTCATGCAGTCGTTATAATGCAAACTTTAAATTGGACCAATCAGTGTTCGCTATTCATGACAGTCCGCCACATATTTTGAAATCAGTAAGGATGACCACCCACCGAAACATCGTTGGTGAGCCACGCCCGCGATATTTGGTGAACTTTAGACTTCGCTAATGCTTTCGTTTTCCCGGGTGTAAATAGCCGGGGGGAATTAGTACCCTCGCACGGCGCTTCGCGCCGTCGGCTCGGGGATGATAGGTCTGACTTCATGAAATCTGACTGCTTGATTCTCGCATGTCCAAATTTCCCTTAGGGACGTTCACCGGCAGGAACCGAACCAGAAAATCTCCCAACATCTTATGATGCAGAACACGAGAAAACCCGCAAGAAACAACTCTTGCAATTATTTAACAGAACTCCCGAGCAGGTGAGATCATAACTCAAACAAAAGAAAGTATTCGTGGGTTTCATATGACGTCATGTGGGGGTCAAGGGTCTGTATCAAGATATAGGAGATCTGTAGGAGATCTGCTGTTTATAACAGAATCGAATTGAAAGAACATTTTCCACTGACGACAGAGAAAATTATAATTATACAACAACAGTAACTGAATCCCCATGAGTGGTGATAAGTGAGTATCCAGAGTGGAGCTGTGCGGTTCCAGAAATTTCATCCCGGTTTCGGTCTTTTGGGGGCAAAAGAACCTCGGTTCTTTCCTCAAAAAATTGTAAACAACTCCCAACAAGTTAAATGAAAAAAGCATCTCCATTGATTATGGGATAGACTGGAGAAATAGATATATTCTGAAAATAAAGAAATTTTTCTTTAGCATTTTGCAGTTTTTTCGACACGAAGCGGCGACATGTGGGGGATCCGAAACTACCAGTTCTTTTGCGCATGCTCGGTGCCGACTTCCGGTGCCAAAATAAGTACCGAAACCGACCAAATATTTCGATTAACCACACAGCTCTAACCCGGAGAAACTTTATTTAAAAGCTGCATTCTTATGTGGATTGTTTCTTTCTAGATCCAAGAAGAAGAATATTTATTGGCTGAGCTAAAGAAAATTGAAATTCGTAAAAAGGAAAGAGAAAGAAGACAGCAAGATTTGCAAAAACTCATCACAGCCGCTGAGAGTACGACTGAGGCGAGGTTAGTTATACAGCCTAACTTACATCAGTGTTGTCCACATGCAGGTATACTCAGTAAAACATGTGGTGTATCAGTTATGCGATGATTTGGAGGTAAATAGTATAAATCAAAAGCCTTAGGTATCCAATGCAAAGAGAGCAACTCTGTTCCCAATATAGGCTAGCTGCAGCCCACCCGTGTTATTCCTGTATCTGGAAAACCAATGGCATACTCACGTTTTCTCATTTTGTTGTGCTGACTGTATACATGTACAAGTACATGATTGCTTAATGTAAATACGTTTTATACGGGGAATTTACATTAAACTCTTATTTCCACTGTTAGAAATCAAGAAAAAGGTCGACCTAGTAATCAGAATAAGAAGAAACAAACGAAAAAGAAAGAAGCGGTGGTTGAGAAACCTGCCAAGGTATTTGACATCAAATCGTTAACTTTGATAACCTCCTGTGTATGACAAAATCCTTTACCAACAGACAATTTCGCGAAACATAAGATGAAACACATTCCAATATTAACATCTTGTAAACTTACTATTCGATCTATTTAAACAAGGTGTGTGTCATCTGTATATATGATAGCCCATTAGTTATTGTTATCGTATTTTTGTTTATATTCGTTTTACTGACGTATAGTTCGTTTCATGGTGCACCACAGTCACTCTTCTGATAAAAGGCCTTCTCTCAAAGTGTCGATAAGTACTTACTGGTATACTACTCTTAACAACTGAGTTGTTGACGTCTTTGATTTTCTCAAACAAACAGCCCCTCTCTATCAGAAAAATTAGGAGGAAAAGTTACCCTATTCTTTCATCATCCCCGCTTTGTTGTCCCAACAGTTTAATGAAGTAAGATATGTTAAAATTCGTGGCACCTCTTCTTAGTCATTGTTCGTCCACACTTTGGATACGCAACCCAGATTTGTCCCCACAATCAATGTATTGAGCTCATCATGCGAGCCAAGAGAGTCCAACGACGTATGTTTAATCTGCCATTCCAGACTAATATACCTTCTAAGGAACGTTTAAATTCCCTCCGTGTACAGTACATCCTCTTTCATACTGGGACGAATCCTTGAGCTGGTACTTAATTCTCTACAAGATCGTTCACATCCTTATAGAGATCGATCCAGACCTCAAGTGAACTCATGTTTTAGCTAGACGAACCCGTGTCACTTCTAAACTCAACTTACTATATGCAGTACGTTTAATCGAAGAGATTCAAAACTGGAACTTTCCCACGCTCATTTTTCCAATAACCATTCAGAATTTCAATTTGGAATAAGCTACCGGAGAACACGCGCCATATAAATACAATGTTAGCACGCTTTGGAACTATGCTGCTACAGTACTATCATGATACAGCTTTAGTGACATACTTCACGACACAATATCTTGTTGCAGTTAATATTTTTATTTATGGGAAGTAATTGGTTAAATTGAATAAACAAAAACACCTTACTTTTAGATTATGGATTTATGGTCTCAACAAGGCAGCTTATCTTAGGCCTTTCCTAGAGCTGTTTTAAAACATATTGCACATTGAATACTGTTGTTATATTTCAGATTGAGGGAGCTGGAATCAAGTTTCCAGAAAACAAAGCAGCGGGAGTTTCTCTTCGTAGTTCCCGAGTAAGTTATATGTTCATATAAGTAATTCTTTAAATTAAGTAAAAAACAGAAATTATACTTTTTAATTTAGCTGCATTACAGCAACGTCGTTTTTAGAGGTCTCTATGACTGATGTTAATTACACCATATCTTAAATACTTCATGTATTGTATTCATTCTAGCTCAAAATGCCAAATTCAGTTGGTACGAAGAAGTCGAAAGCTGTCGAAATGTTACTGGATGAACTTAGAGTTGGTATGTATATCATATATTTGTTTTAAATTCCGTGTTGAGCCACCTTAACAACAATTGCTTTGTTTTTTTGTAGAACTGATTCCTATGCCAACAGAGGAAATATGCAAGAAATTCAACGAATTAAGGTAAAAATATTTTCTTTAACTTCTCTAACGGAATGATGAGCAATTTACTAAAATCATGTATTTTTGCTTAATTTAGAAATGACATCATTCTTCTTTATGATCTGAAGCAAGCGTCTACAAATTGTGAATTTGAATTACAATCTTTAAGGTACGTTCGGACATGCTGTCATTACTCTGTATGGAATTTGTTGTAGTTTCGTATTGCTTCTCATTTATACCTTTAATCAGTGTTATTTGGTCCCTTAAAAGTAAATCACATTTTAATTAATAGTGGTAGTATATCATGTTTCAACAGTATATTGCTTATTTTTAGACACAGATATGAGACACTCGTGCCTGGCAAAGATATAGCAGAAACAGGTATGTATAATAACTTCATATTTTAATATAACGTTAAAACTTTGGTTTGTCATATGCTTACAGTATCATAATGACAGATCATCATTATCATCATTATCAATTGTGGTCATAATTATCGTAATACAGTAGTAGCATGCGTTCTTGGGGGGTCGATAAGGAATCAATGGATGTGTCAAAATCTAGTAAGATTGTCACACCAGAAATCATCGTATGCGCATCTTAAGATGCGCATACGATGAAGAGTAATGCGTGTCTTCTTATGTTTGGACGCGCATGTATCGTGGCGTTACATTGTATTAGTTTAGTTCCTGAACACTAGGATAGAACTAACGACTTTGCACACAAAAGGAAACTCTATACGGTTCATTACGATATGGGTGAAGTAGAAAGCCAAAGTTATGTCCAAGTGGGATTTTAACCTTGACCTGTAATAAGGAAATCTATTGGCTCTCTCCATGCACTCATCGCAAAATAAACTCGCAAGCCCGAGTTGACTCTTGTGATGAATGGAAAGAGGCTTAAGGGCAAATTATTAATTTTGTATGTATTGGACTTCTTTCTTTATTTTTTCGCTTTAGTTCCATCTTCTATCGCAGCTTTGAGTGGAGTGAGTATATCTTTATTTTATGCATGGAAACCAAGATAGTGCTTTACACTTGGATTTACAGATTTAAATTTGACAAGCGCAGCAAAATATTGCATATTTTACCACAATAGACTGGTCTTAAATGCATGCAGTACAAAGTATGCACGCATGCCTCCAACAGACTACAACATCTATACATGCATCCAACTGGACAAAACCTAACCCTGATCCTAACGTCTGACTGGACACAATAATAAGCATACATAGATTCAGGTTGTCCTACGACCGTTTGAAGAATTGAAGTACCTCATAAATTCGTGTAGTCTGAACCGCGGGCTTTGCCAAAATTCACAGCCACAGGTGCTTTAAAAGTATAGCTACCACTAACCCTGACCTTCGAAAGAAAACGACGACTGGGACCCAGGCAATTATGCGCTGTTCTCGCGTCGTCATGATAATGCCTTTTGAGTAAAAGCTATATATGCCTAGACTGGTATAGCCTGTAGGGAATGTTAAGTGGGCGATATTTAGTAAACATGTCTTTAATATTTTAAAAACCTAACTTAACGTGTACTGTATTCTCAATCTATAGATAACTCCGTCAACCACAGGCAGTGCAACGCCACTGATTGACAACGTAATTGCTCCTTTGGCAGCCGCAAATGCCGTAAGTTTTCGTTTTCTTATTTCCAGTAATTTCCTGAAGGTAATGCGTTTTCCTAAATCTTCGCGAACTGCGAGCCAGTAATTTGAGAATGTGTATAAAGCCATTTAAAGGTGAAACCATACAGTAAGTACGACAAAATCGTGGCTACAACCTGTCTAATCACTTTACTGTTGGGTAAATCTCTTCAACCTTGTTCTGTTTAATGCTGCACGTGGTCCTCGCCGTGTGCAGAGGTACAACGCCGAAGTGAAAGAGCCTAATGGCACAATCTGCAGACATGCATGTTTCGGCGTCCTATAAACTTGCCCCAAGTCTCTCTCAAATGGGTTTTGATAGGGTATATCCAGTTTATTATGAGATCAGTTTTGAACTCTCCGTTTCAAGTTCAAAACTGATCTCATAATAAACTGGATATACCCTATCAAAACCCATTCGAGGGAGACTTGGGGCAAGTCTAGGCGTCCTACGCCTCATCAGTGCAGCTTGGTACACATCTAAACACCGGTTCATGCATGAACTGGGCCTACAGTTGCATTTTTCGCAGCTGAGTGCTTCTCGTTAGATCTAAAACATGTACAATAATTAGACCACTGATTTACACTTGAACTTTCCAACTACAAAACCATGTTTGCCAAGTGGCCAACCTCGCTAGGACTTTGAGTCCTTTCGTTAGCCTCTCATCATGCAAGTTACTCAAATTGTTTGTGATCACTTTCACTTTGTATTATTCATATGCGCTAATATGTTGTTAATAATTAACTTCATGAAATTTTCTAAATAAATAAATATGCAACAGAAGCTAATTTGAATTGTTACTTGCACGCATAAGTTACAAAAGATGATCAGTTGTTGTTATTACTTCGTGCTACGTTAGCTGGTACAGCAGTTATTCGGGTTAACTCGATGCTGTGGTAGTTTATGCTCACATAATTTAATATTTTGCTCTATATTCTTGGCAAGGCAGTTCATGTAATAAACAGCATCAGTTACATAGTGTATATTCATGTCAAATCATTTTGTTCATTGTAGAGAAAACGTCGAAGTGTCCCTCAGTTTATGGACCAAAATCCTCTAAAGAAAAAGAAGACCTGAGAGTTCCGTACGAAAGAAAGTTGTTTCCCGCTACAGTAATTGTATTGTATACATATGCGTATTATAAGTGTATACTTTATGTATTCTCTTCGCAGTAGCATAACTGGGATTTTGCGCTTAGTCCTTGTGAAAAATCCCAAAATACAGGAAGAAGGCTTAGTACTTTGTCGTCAGAGAAAACCACAAGAATTGTATTTATAATATGTTGTTGGATGTCAGTTTCACTGCACCATTCAGAACTGGACAATACTCATTGAAATACTGCAAGCGATATATTATTTAACAATTAGTCGCCTCAGGGTTGGTGAATATTAAAGAAATAGTACTATTTTGCATTTTTCGCACTGTTAAAATAGTATTTTCAGACAAAGCAAAGTTCACTTCAATTCTACAACGGAGATACTACCTTGAAATAGTTTTACACCAAATTTTGTTGCATCTTTTGTACATATATGTTATTTCTTCGTTTTCACACTGACAAACCGGGCGGCCATTACGCATTAGGTGATTATCGTGGAATAATCCGAAGTAGCTTTACCAATCAGTGGCCACAATTTTCAAAAACCACCTGTGTATTTATCCTAAAATATAATACCGTTTATTAAAAATAACTCTTTTTGCAGTGTAAACTGAATTACCATGCAAATTAATTACAAGGTGATGATAATAAGTGACTAGCTACTTTATAAAACAATTAAAACTACAACTATATATATGTTTCTTACATAATTATGCAAGTGGTAGTTATGGTGATTCATCAGTTTTACATTGCGCACTTTCACTGCGCATATCTAATAACAAATTCTAGCTAATATATGTAGTCGAACTGCAAAGTAAAGTGATAAAGAAAGAGTAAGGGCAAAGAGAAAAACACTCTGCATAGATTAGGCGTGCTTCAGGAAATATACCTTCAAAAATGACAGAACTCTGGCTAGGGCTCCTGTGCAACTAACACTAAACCACATCATGTTGCATGTTTAACCCTTGTACCTCTTTAAGAAGGTCCGTGACGGCACGTGACCCTACTTTTTCATTTTATATTTTTGTTCTTCTGTACGTTTTACATGTCATGTCAGAAAATAAGAGAAAAATAATTTCTACAACTTATAATATTTTACATTTTTCGCGCATGCTTCCCAAAATAACATGTCTGAGAAGATGGGAAAAGACATCCTTGCACCACGACAATGGTTTTCGATTCGCTAAAATACCATGTTTTCTTGTATATAATCACTAGATAGACATTTTTAGTAGGATCTTTGTTAAAAAAATTCAATAACGGTTGAGCAATTGCGATTGT